TTAGCCTGGGGCACACTAACCATTCACCCCTGCTTTTTCTAAACTTTACTGTTATATCCAGTCAGATCACCAAAGAGCCACGTTCCCTGATGATATAAATTTGTCCCCTTGCAGAAATATTCTTACAGAACCACAACCAATGTTTATTCATTTATTCGATAAAATACTTACTAAGTGCCTGCTATATGCCAGGCACTGTTCTAAGCATGGGGACGGTACCTCAGTGAATAAAACAGACAAAAATTCCTGTATGAACCTTATAGACTACTGAACGTTGTCTTTCTGTCCCAGACTTACATAAAAGATTCAAGAACAGAAGATGCTGTATGTAAAAATGTCTGGTTTTGAGTTTTATGTTTAATAAAGATCTCCTTGATAAATTCCACCCAGGAATTCAATGCTGGTAGAAGCTTCTAGTAGGATTTGGCATGATTCCTTCTGTTAAAGAATGTTGTCTTGCTACAGGGAAGCAGTTAGAAGACCAGCCGCACCCCTAATTGCTGCTGCCTCCTCATATTATGGTCTGTGTCTCTCTTTTGTTCCTGATCTCTCGTTCTTCCAGCAACCCCATCTCTCCCTCCCTCACATTTTCCCCTCATTTTAGAGATGTAGTTTTATTGTGAACATTGTGTTTGGTTATAAGCAACCTAGAATTCATTTTGTAAGTAAATTGGAAAAAGAGGGGAGATCTAAAGCGATGAAGGAAGTAAGCGTTTGCTAAGATTGGTTCTGTGAACTTGAAGGAAGGCTGCAATTGTATTCTGGGAGATAGGGATTCTTATTCTTAAACTGAAAGTAGGCTTCTGTATTTACAGTAACCCCGTAAACTTTGAAAGTCCTTGCTCTTTGACTTTTACAAGTGATTATTAAAGCATTTGTATATAATAGATTTAAAAACTTGGTGGAAACCCTGGGGCATCTGGGTGGCTCATTTGGTTAAGTGTCTGCCTTCGGCTCAGGTCATGATCCCCGGGTCCTGGATCAAGCCCCACACCACCTCCCTGCTCAATGGGGAGTCTGGTTCTCCCTCTCCCTCTGCCGCTCCCCCTGCTTATGCTCCCTCTCCCTCTTTCTCTCTTTCTCTCTCAAAATCTTAACAACAACAACTTGGTGGAAACCCTAAAGATCGTCTAGTCCAACTATCTAATCTTACAGGAAATGAGATCCTGGGTTTTAAATAATTTACCTCAAGGCAACCGCTAGAGTATCACTGGTAGGATTAAAATTCAGTTTCCCTTTATTTCACTGTGGTCCTCTTTCCACCAGACTTTAAATTAGAAAATGTTTTGTGTGCCTTTAAATATGATAAATTTAGGAGATGATGTAAAACTTTGTATTACTTTCATCCTATAATATATGGTTTCTAAGAATTCAGCTAAACAGACTTTTATTGAATTGCCACCGTGTACTAGCAGGTGTACTCACCACTGGGCACAGAAGATGAGGAAGCCAACTCCTCAGCACATGCGTACCAGAGAGTGGGGACACTTTGCTGAGCTCCTCATAAGCCTGCAACCACAGTGTGCTGATGGAAGAAAGAACTGTTTCTTACCCTCAAGGATTTCAAAATCCAGAGAACTAACTTACAGTTGCTAAATTAAAACTTGATAGGAATTCTGTTTCAGAGTGTTTGCTTTATAACCCATGTACTGTATCACATAGAAAAACTTGAGAAGAAAAAGAGGAGTCTATAACTAGAACTGTAGCAAAACCCAGTAAGTTTCTCATTCTATTTACTTAGAATGAGAGTTTACCAGAAACACTCATCATCTGCAGCAAGCTCTGCTATCCTAATGGGGCATGTCCTGTTGATCAGTGTACACATTAACAGGTAATGTAGTCCAGTGGTTTTAAACTTTTTGGAAATCTGATGCACATATGCAACTTTCACACACTCAATTTTAAGATGTGTATGCTGCCTCCTCCCCTGCCAAGCACATTCATGATCTCTCATCAGACATATCTGTGTCTGTGGCTGGTGTGGGGGGTTATTTTGAAAGAGACTTTCAAGTGGTTCTTATCCATGGTGAACTTCTGCTACTGATGAGACCGTATTATTTCTTTCTAGTATGTTGAAAACCACAGATGTAATATTTATCATGTACTGTCATTATTTGCATCTTATGTACTTCTTAAAAATCTAAACTTCACAAGCCTAGTAATCTTCATTCATACATTGTATCCTGGGTCCAAAATAATATCGGCCTGCCCAGTAATATTATTAGACATTATTAAATAAATAAATAAAATATAAAAATAAAAAAATTTTTAATTTTTTTATTGTGTTAATCACCATATATTACATCATTAGTTTTTGATGTAGTGTTCCATGATTCATTGTTTGTGCATAACACCCAGTGCTCCATGCAGAATGTGCCCTCTTTAATACCCATCACCAGGCTAACCCATCCCCCTACCCTCCTCCCCTCTAGAACCCTCAGTTTGTTTTTCAGAGTCCATCGTCTCTCATGGTTCCTCTCCCCTAAAAATAAAAAAAATAAAAAAATTTAAAAGCAGTTCTATTTTAATAAATACTGGAGGATAGTAGAGAGTACATTAAGGTCTGTTGCAAGCAATCTGGATTCCAAAAGTCCTAGCTTTACAGCTACAGTTAGGGGCGCATCCTTAAGGAGATCACCTAATCTTGGGCCTTGGTTCACTTCATCCGTAAAAGGAGATTGTAGTAAATTCAAATTTATCATCTCTAAGGACTCAGCTTTACACTTTGTTAAGTGAAATAAAACAGGAATCTGGAAATGAGATCTGGATTCTACACCAATGTATATTTTTATATTTCCACAAGTGTGTGGCTGTGTGATTTACTTTCTATACTGATTTCTCACAAAATGTAAATAGGACACCTTTTAACCCTCACTCCAACGGAGGAATAGCATTCCAGGTCTCTAGCCTGCAGCTGGGCCACCGCATCATATACCTATCTCCATATTCTGTGATGTCTCTGGTGCTCCCCTCAAGGACAAAGGCCCATGTATATGTGCTGCTGAAGGGAGCACGGAGACCATGCATTTTAGTCTGCATATCTCCAGTGGCTAGTACGGTCTTCGGGCACATAAAAGACAATAAAAATTTGTTAAATGAGTAAATTATTTTTTGGCTCCTCTGAAAAAGTTTGTATAGGTATGTTTTAATTATGTTTTAATTACACCATCGTAAGTTGGTTTCCAAAACAATATTATAATTCAGAGATATTTTAACTAGCTCATCAAATTTTTGATCATCTTCGCTAAAAGATCACTAAACATCTATTTTATGGCAGGCCCTAGAAATGTAACTCCTCATGGGTCTTGGAGCTTGGCAAGTAAGACAAAAAAGATGTGTGTTACTAATTCTGGTGGCAGTGTGAGGACTCCTATAATACAAGTATAAGCAAGATATAAGTAGACATTAGAAGTTTAACGTGCTATGACTTATATTTTGGAATTATGATAAATATTTTAGTCAATAAGTATGATTTCTTTGTTTAATTCCCAGCTGTTTTTATAACAAGTCTCTTTACCACTGATGACATAGATGAACCAGTGTTACTTACTCATTGCAAGTATTTTTTTAATGAGCTGGAAAGTAGACTAAGTTGCTTTTTAGCACTGTATCTCTCTAAAGGTCTCCAAATACTTTAAAACATGCGTGGAAGCCTGACACAGATGTATCTTGTTCTAAATTATTGTCCCATATATTCTGCCTTTTCTGATAAGTGAATTTTTGCTTCTTTTAGGAGGATTTTCTATGGGAGGGTGCATGGCAATGCATTTAGCATATCGAAATCATCAAGATGTGGCAGGAGTATTTGCTCTTTCTAGTTTTCTGAATAAAACATCTGCTGTTTACCAGGTAAGTTTTTAAAAACAAAACAAAAGAAGCAGTCATGATATAGTCACACATTGAAACTAAAAATTGGTAATTAAGCAATAACAGTTGGTGCACAGAGCACTGCTGGAGATCCATCCCCAATGAGTTAATGTTAAATATTAATTCCAGCTGGTCATTAATGTTCAGGAAATGCCATACAAAGAGTATTGTTAAGCACAGTGTCGAAGGGGAAAGGATAAAAAGAATCTATGTAAGATACATATGTATCCCTTACACATAATAAAAATATGGGTGATTATAGTAAGGTTTGTTTATTATGTCACAAATGTGATCAAAACAAAGACTCACATTCCCGATACCTGTTTCATAGCAACATGCTAATATATGAATACGGTACCTTATAGCTTTGTAACTTCATACCTGAAGTAGAAGCAGCAGGTACAGAAATGAAAACTAGAATGTAATTTTTCCCTTGATTGTCCCTGCCTTCCTCCGTCCTTCCACCCTGCGTGAAGAGGTCTGTCTGACCGAGTCTCACAGTCTCTTCAGGAAGCCCTCTGACCATGTTTGAGACAGTCCTCTATGGAGTCACTGCTGGTCACATACAACTAACTGTAGCTCACGTGGTGCTGCAACCAGCTGAGCCCCCAGCCAGGACCACCAGGTTATACCTTAGACTGCACCACGACTGCCTATTTTCTCCCTTGGAATATTGAAGCTTGGGTAAAATTGCAATTTTTCTGCCCTGTGTGATTTCCCAGAATGATGTTCTTAAACTAATTTCGTAAACATTCCCATTTCTATTTCCTGTTCTCTAGGCTGTTCGGGAAAGTGATGGTGTGCTCCCTGAATTATTTCAGTGCCATGGTGCTGCAGATGAGTTAGTTCTTCATTCTTGGGGTGAAGAGACAAACTCAATGTTAAAATCCCTAGGAGTGAGCACAAAGTTTCATAGTTTCCCGGGTATTTACCATGAGCTAAGCAAACCTGAGCTAGAAAAACTGAAGTCATGGATTCTTACAAAGCTTCCAGGAGAAATGGAAAGGCAAAGTGAATGAATCAAGATTGATTTGTTAATCTGCATGTCATGCCTCTGCGAAAAGTGGTTTTTACTGCCAAATTACAATTTGATAAATGATAATTAAAATATTAATAAATGTGAAGTATACTGACTTATTTAGTAGTTATTGAAATGCTTAATACCACAGAAGTAGCATCGTTCTTATTAATGGTAAATATTAATTTAGACAACCATCTGTGGATTGTTTTTCAGATACATTTGTAAATAATTGGAGATCTTTTTGAGTAATTAAATATTTAAATTTAAAAAATAATGTAAAGTGAGTTTAAGTAAGGGCAGTGAGAAGACATGAAGAGGCTTAATATGGCATTTTATTTAAGTGTCCTATTTTGTTCCCAAATATTTGGGAATATTTTAGGTATGTTTGTTACCAATTTCTAATTTAAATCCATTGTGGTCAGAGAGCATACTCTGTGTTACTATTTTGTCTATGTTCATGAAGGATGTTGGTCTGTAGTGTTTTTGACCCCATAAAATGAATTGGGAGGTGTTTTCTTCTCTTCTATTTCCTGGAAGAAATTGTATAAAATTGGTATTAATTTTTTCTTTAAATGTTTGTTGGAATTCTCTAGTGAAACCATGTGGGCCTGGAGATTTCTGTATACTGTACCCTTTTAGCTCATCACATTCGACCTTCAAGTTCATTATACCACCTCACACTTAGTATAAGGACCTTCCATTTCTCCCTTCCTGGTCTTAATGCTTTTTTTCCCACTTGTAAATATGCTATAAATAGCATGTACCATAAATCTCACAACATATTACCACTATTTTATTTCAAGCCCGTTTTCCTTTAAATCAACTTAAATAATGAGGAAAACATCTTATACATCTACCCGTGTGGTTACCACCTGCTGTGCTCTTCAGTTATTTTTGTGCTGATATGTTTCTGGTATCCTTTTCATTCTGCCTGAGGGACATCATTTAAATAATTCCACTGTAAATGTGCTGTTAATGACTTCATTCAGCTTATATGTCTGAGGAAGCCTGTGTTTTACATTTGTTTTGAAAAGGTACTTTTCACTGAGTATAAAATTCTGGATTAACATTTTTTTCTTCAGTATTTTTTTTTTTAAACATTTTATTTTTTGACAGAGAGAGACACAGCGAGAGAGGGAACACAAGCAGGGGGAGAGGGAGAGGGAGAAGCAGGCTTCCCGTGGAGCAGGGAGCCCGATGCGGGGCTCGATCCCAGGACCCTGGGACCATGACCTGAGCCGAAGGCAGACGCTTAACGACTGAGCCACCCAGGCGCCCCCTCTTGAGTATTTTAAACATGGCATTCCCCTCTCTTCTTGCTAACTTTATTTCATACAGTATATCTGTTGTTATTATCTTTGTTTTTCTGTATCTAATGTTGTATTTTGTTTTGTTTTGTTTTTACTCCTGATGTTTTTAAGAGTTTATCACTGATTTTGAGCAATTTGATTATGATACATATTGGTCTGGGGGTTCATGTTTCTTATCCTTGTGGTTTCCACTCATCTTGGGTGGTTCTTCCTCGGGTTTCGGGTAGTCTACTCGCACACGTGTGGCATAGGGACTCTGCTGAATAATCCAGGTCGACCATGTCTGGTGTCTGGAGCTCTCCTGTGCAGCTCGTTCTTCTCTGGTACGCCATCCTACAAACTCTAGCCACCCCATCTACTCAGATTCTTAGCTCTGCTTCCCGACACAGGAGTTCTCCAAGCTCTGCATGAAGTGCTCCTCTCAGCTCTGTGGCTGGGGAGTTCTCAAAATGGCAATAAGCTGGGGCAGTCATAAGGCTCACCTTGTTTCCTTCCCCTTCTGTCAGAGACCACTGACCTTTATTGCCTGATGCCGAGTACTTTGAAAAACTCTGTTTCCAGGATTTTGCCTTCTTTGTTGTTGTTTCAGATGAAAGAATAAATTCATTTCCTGTATTACCTCAATGGCTGGAAGCTACACTAAATTATCCTTTGAAGTTTAATTTTTTTAATTCTTTTATATCTAGTTTTTCCAGTGCTCTTCATTCCTTAATGTAGTTTCAGATTTCCACATGATATCATTTTCCTTCTGCCTGAAATACTTTCACATTTATGATAGTGCGGGTCTGCCGCTCTTAAATTCTTTCAACTTTCGTATGTCTGAAAAAGTCTTATTTTTGCCTTCATTTTTAAAAGATACATAGAATTCTAGGTTGACAGGGTATTTTTTTTTCCTTTCATTACTTTTAAGATCTTACACTACTGTCTTCTAGTTTGCATTTTTCTCTGCTGCTTTTCTAATCTTTTTTTTTTCTTCCTCTGACTGTGCTTACAATTTTCTCTATCTTTAGTTTTAAGCAGTTTGATATTATGATGTGCTTTGGTGTTGTTTTCTCCATTTTTCTTATGCCAGGTGTTTGTTGAGTTTCTGCTTTTTAGATTGTGGGTTTATAGTTTTCATCAAATTTAGATTCATTTTGGCCACTGCATTTTCAAGTATTTGTTTGCCTCTTCCTCTTCTCTTTTTTGGGGGACTCCAGACTTACTGGTGCTTATTCCTTTTTTTTTCCCCCTTTTCTTTTTTTTTTTTTTTCATTCTTCTGCCCTGCATTTCATTTTGGATAGTTTCTATTGCTTATCAAGTTCATTGATCTTCTGCAATGTTTGTCATTAATCCTACCCACTTTATTTTTTATCTCAGATACTGCACATCTCTATAAGTTCTGTTTTTATTTGTTGCATTTTATATTTAATATGCTTATTCTCCTCCTTGAATATATGGGATTTAGTTAAATAGCAACTATAATATTCTTCTTTATTCGGTCTGTCATTTGTTAGTTTGTTTCTATTGATTAATTTCTCTTTCTACTAAGGATGATATTTTCTTGCCTCCTTCGTAGGCCTCATGATTTTTTGTTAGATCTCAAGCACTGTGAGTTCTACCTCATTAAGCACTGGGCTATTTGCATTTCTATAAATAGGAGCTTTGTCACTGAATGCAATTAAATTACCTGGAAGGTACTTAGAAAGAGTTTGAGCCTTTCAGTCTTCCTTTTAAGCTTTCTTAGGAGGTTCCAGAGCCCTCTTTCTCCAGGACTGATTTTGCCCCACTCCTCAAGCAGCGCATTGTGGGTAGTCCAGCAGACACTTGCTGGACTGTGAGGTTCACAGGCTGGCTAGTGTAACACAAACGTCCCAGCCCTCCATGAGCCCCAGTGATTGTTTCCTCTGTTCCTCGTGGGTCACCCTCCCCTCAGACACCTCTCTCTGATGGTTAGTGCTGGAGTTGGTGTTGGGGGAGGATCTCTGCAAATCTGTGGCTCTCTCATACTCTGCTCTGTGAACTCTAAGCTCCTGGCTCTCCTGGCTCCCTCTGGGTCTCCCTTCTCACACTGCAGCCCAGAAACTTCTTCACACAGAAGGTGAGCATTTGTAGACCTCACCTCATTTGTTCTTCAGGAACTGCCCTGTGCTGCCAGTGTCCAGTATCTGAAAGCGTACACATGGTTCAGCTGTTGAGCTGTTTCAGGTTGAAGAATAAATCCGGTCCTTGTATCTCCATCTTGGTCATCTTGGTCATAAGCAGAAGTCCCTTTATTAGTCTTTTATTTAAAGTTATCAAATCTAAATGTGAAGGGGGAGGGTGGGAAAGAGAAGGACTGATAAAATTTAATAAAATCCAAAATCCCTTTGCAGAAGACTGGGCAGGGTTTTAATTATCCCAAGCTTTTATTGACCTTCAACTCCTTGAACTTTTAAATGCCTTGGCTTGAATATACACAGTATCACTCATGTATAAAACCCTTACGGCTGCAATTTACCCTAAGAGTACCACATATATATGGCATAAAGAAAGTATCAGGTCTATACATGTCAAGTGTATACATCCCAAATATAGTGTAAGGAAAGGAATCCAGATTTTTTTTTTAAATATTTGTCCTTTCGCAGAGTAATCATGTATTCTGGCATAAACCCAGCCCCTGCCACGGTGTACTCTTCTGTGAAATTGTTTTCTGAAGATCAAGCTATATAACATATGTAAAAGACTTTAATAAAATATGTTAAACAAATTTAAGGTGTTACTAGTATTGGTTAGTATGGTTCTAAATCCATCTCCACAAATACATCCGTGCATGGAGGATATATCTAAAATTTTATGTGGCTATAGCCTTCAATCCAATTCTCATGCCTCCCCATTGGGCTAGTAGGATATCCATTGTGTTATCGTGAGCAGCATGTTCAGGGGAGATCCTCCAGGCTCCAGTTCTCACTAATCTTGAGGTACCTATTGTCCATATGCATGTGGTCTCTTAAAGCCAGGTTTTTGGAAAATACATGCCAAGGCTGGAAACACCGGGGCTTAAGGTATCCTCCTAAAGAAACCTCTCAGTCATTCCTTTCATGTCCCATCCCAAACCTTTCTGTTGCTTTACCCACAGAAACATTTCTGAAGGCAAGGGAATTGAAATAGCTGTGGTACTTTCTTACATGGGAGAAAAAAAGTGGCAAGAAGAAGAAAATGTAAATCAATATCACAATCAATTATATATGTTTATGTTAGGGAGACCGGAATTTTGCAAGGGAGGAGAGGTAAAGCTAGGTTACGAGTGAAAGGAGATTTGCACTTTTTACTCTTTCTTTTGTTTGAATTTTTATGGTGTGCTTTATTACTTTTATGATCCATAAGTGAAGCAAAATGTTTATTGCTAGTATTTTTCCTCAACTGAAATCTGAATAAGAAAGATCATCATCAGTAGTAAGGAGCTTAAATGTATTCTTTATAGGAAGTTGAGTATTTTAATTGATGTATAACAAAATGAGCTGAGAACAAAATATAAAGCTGAATGACAATTTGGCTATTGATAATGTGTGGTACTTTAGTCAATCAGAGAAAGACATGTATCATATGACCTCACTGATATGAGGAATTCTTAATCTCAGGAAACAAACTGAGGGTTGCTGGAGTGGTGGGTGGGAGGGATGGGGTGGCTGGGTGATAGACACTGGGAAGGGTATGTGCTATGGTGAGCGCTGTGAATTGTGTAAGACTGTTGAATCACAGACCTGTACCTCTGAAGCAAATAATACAATATATGTTAAAAAAAAAAAAAAGAAGAAGATAGTAGGAGGGGAAGAATGAAGG